CCGTTAGATTGGCTTTCGGTTTTGAGGAATCTCACACAAAAGATTAATTAATTTAGGTAAGAAGCACAAAAGTAAGAAAGCATTTTCATTCTTCAACTGTCTTCGCTATATATGAAAATACCATTATGCGAATTAAAGTACCGACTTTTAACTTGTCCCTAGAGCATGACACATAGAATCGCACGTTATAGTCGATGCATGTTTTGGTGTGGGCTATGTGCTCAACCAAGGAATAACGAGCGGAAGACTCACTGGTACGTATACCAAAATAGCAACACGAATGCGACAAATAAGGAAGCTATATCTTGGTTCGTGAAGCATTCTCGACTGTTGCCTGGACAAAGCTGTGCAAATGCCAAATCGAAATCTTTGACTCAATGTTGCACTCAAATAGGGTGTTCTGCATGACTTTATGAGATTTGATCACGCTTGCTTTTGCAAGTAGGAAATCAGTACAAAAAATCTGCACTTAGCCAGACCAAATCTTAATTAGACGTAAATTCTTGAGGTTTTCCATTAGTTGTGACAACAACGTAGCTATGTGACAGCGATAATGAGGTAAGTAGCCAACGAGGATGTCTACCAAGAGGTTGACCCACAAGTTGTTTTAGGTCAAAGCACAGGCACGCACAGTATTTGACTTGCAATCTCTTCGCAAAACACAGAAACAACAAAGCATCGGTTAGTTTGCAGTATGGTATTAATGTTATCCTCATATGACATACTATCGCCCCAGAACTATGCAATATCCATCTATGAGCGTCTGGGGATCCCATCGAAGGGAATGCTTGACACATCGCGGTCAAAGGTCCCCTCATCTATATGAACGTTCCCGTCTATGTCAGTATAAGATACGATGCGTAGTCTGTCAAGCAATTCCTCGAAAGAAATTCGATCGCTAGTCCATACTTCAAACAGCACGCTACGTAGACCAGCAGCGGGTAAATGAAATGCTATCGAGTTGTTTTCTTCTAAAGCTGCTGAGGCCATGGCTGAGCAATAATGCAGAGTAACTCTCATCGGTGTGGAATTGTCAAAGCTTGACCAGATGAAGTCGGTCAAAGTCTCTAATTT